CCAACAATAATAGCATGCAAATGTTGCTGAACTGAGTCAGTGAACTGCCCACTTTTTTTCACAATTAATATTTTACGTCATAACACGATCATATGAATTTTGTCATATATACCTTAACACCCTCCATTTTTACATGACGGCGTCCCAATCATTAATTCGTCATTATCTTCCTCTGAAACAAAATCAAATTAGAAATTAAAATAGAAAATTTCGACTGCAAACATCTTCTTAAAAGTAATCTTTTCCATAAAACATACTTTTAAAACTATCTACTGTGATGAGCTTTTGCCCTATCAGTCCCCAGAATGATATATGGATGTATTCTATTCTATAATAAATGTTGTATCTTAATTTTGTAAAACAGAAACCATGAAAGGATGTTTTCTCCCATGGGTATCAGGGTACAGGTCAAGATTATTGAATATGTCTATATCACACAGCAAGTAAATATTTTCAATTATCAAAGAAATTAACTTACCTGTAAAAACAATAAACCATAAAACAATTGGTGTTACAGTAGGTTATTTTAATAGAGACATAATGAAATTAACGCTAGTATTTATTCTGTTAGTATATTTGGTTTGTTTACCACAAGTGCTGCTTCTTTCATTATTTATATTCATGCAAAACTCCTGCTGTCTCTTTTGGTAGATCTGTGTAGTGTACAGAAAAATAATAAAATAAAAATCAAAATAAATCTTACCTTTTTTATCTTCTTCATTCCCTGATGACAGTTTAAGTTTATCAAGTGCTTGTTTTAGGGAGGCAGATATTTTTAATTCCAAATTTGTCATTGGTTCATCTGGGCTAGAGAATTTTGAAACTTTATTACCACATTAATATGTACTAAAATATTTCTTTGTACTCCAAATTAATAACCTTAAAAGCTTTGTTTTGAGAAGCCAAATGTTTCATGAATCAAGTGATTCCCATTAGAAAGTATTTTATAAATAATTGTTATAATGTATCTGCTTTCTAAGAAAAAGTAGAAAAGCTTCACATATTAAAATAATAAATCTCAAATAATCATGTTATTGGCAGCACATTTCATTATCAGTTGCACTAACGGTAAGGGAATAAAGACTAGAAATCCAAGTTTGTCAAAACGAGTAACTCCGAGGAAAGAACCAGAAAGTACTTCTAAGAAAGAACCACAAAGAACCACATGTACTTCTACATTCCATGCCAAACAGAATGCTGAGCACATAATAAACAGGCAATAAATATGTACTAAGTGTATCCATACTCAATTCTACCAGTGGAGATAATTTACATTATGTGGACACTAGTATATGGATCTGTAAATTGAGATACAATAGTATCGCAAGGCAATTTTAGCAGGGTTAAAAAAAAAGCCCTCTAACATTTTTTAATAGTTAAGTTTTATATATATAATTGTTAAGAATTTAATAAATGCAGCAATAAAATAGAAGTCCTAGGTTATTCACTCTACATTAACAATGAAAAAAATGGACATAGAAGGCATTTAAAAAGCACATAAAACCCATTATCTTCATACTCTATAGTCACCACCAAATGAACTGAAGATAAAGTACTTAATTTCTATCTTTAAATAAAATTACTAGTCCATCATTTAAAGAAAATATTAATTCATAGTACTATAGAAGATTCTACTTTATTACTGAAGAGATTAAGAGTGAGCCATGACAGACTTTTGTATTTTTCTAATAATTTATTTAACTGCCAAATCAGTCAGCAAGGCATTTAATAGTATAATTATGAAAAATGTGGAGATGGAATAAAATCATTCTGAATAGTTCCTTTAACAAATGATCTGTATCCAGAGTGTTAATGAACAAATAAACATCTAAAGTCTCTGAACATTATCTTGGTCCTGGATCATCCAATACTATATAAATTTATTTAAGTAGGATCAAAGAGCAAAAGTTGGGAATACTGTGAGTTCATAGCAAAAATAAACATTTCGACAGAGCTCAATTTTAAAGCCCCAAATCAGTTTTTTTGTTTTTTTTAAGATCGAGAGTTTGGTTCTAAAATAATTCAGTACTCAAAGCCAGTTATGAAGAAGAGCTGGTGTAACAGAGGTACCCAATATACATGTGTGGGAACACAGAGAGAGTCTGGTTATCAAAAGCAAGGATGAAGGATCTCTAACATTTTACTGCAAAATGAGCAAAAGCTATTTTAAGACTACTTTAACAGATAAGTCATCAAAATCAAATACATCAAAAATTCACCAGTATTAATGAGATTAACAGCAGGTTTTTTTTTTTTCAGGCATCTGAAAGTAAAGATGAGTGATTAGGTCCCTGTGCTCCTTTTTTTTTTTCTTTTCTGTGCTCTTTTTCAATTCAAACTGATCTCATGACGAGGACAACTCCTTCAAAGAATTTCACTGTGCCACAGTGAAAACAAATACATGCCAAAAGACAAGATAGATATTTGACTCCTCTACCTTGTAGGTACATGTGCCTGTAATTATGATAATACAAAAAGCACACCAGCCATGAAGTTTTTCTGTGTATATGTTTCTCATGTAGATGGGGAATAAACTTAAAGGCAGATTTCAGGAAAGAACTAAACAGTTCAAAATTTGGTGGCTTACAGTAGCTACAAATGGTATTACGCTAAATCATAAAAGGAAATACCATGAACAAATGCTATTATTCAAGTGTATTGAAATATGCAACTGTATAAATTATACCTGGGCCTTTTTATTGCTTCTACTGGTTT